CAGATTTACCTGTGGATATTATAATCAGTTCTGCAATTTGTTTAGTGTGGTATGATTGCAGAAACATAGGAAAGAAAGCAACTGCTCTTGATGAAGCTTCTTCATGCTTACCTTTGTGCATTGAGGACATTGCCACAAATGTTTTGACGTTGCTGAGTTTCACTTTCAGTGGCTGCATTATGGTAGTTACCTTTACAATGTTTTGCAGTTTTTACTCTTTTTTATTTGCTTTGCTAAATCTTTATTTCTTGCTTAGCTCATAAGGCAAATGAGTCAACTTTAGCATCCTTAGATTCTAGATTCTAGTTGCTTTACTTTTCCGCACTGAAGTGATATAAATTCTTTTTTTTCTTGTGTTTTATCTTTTAACAGGTGTTTGAGGGAGAACAGAGCTTCCTTTCAACTGTAATGGAATCCTCAGATGGACTTTATGCTGCCGCAGCGAGCCTGGGAATTGATTTGCAGCTTTTCAACTCGTACTCATCTGAGTTGACTGATGAAATTATATTGAGCTGCATGGGATATGCCACGAAGTTGACTAGGTGGATATATCCTCGAATGCCTGAATCGGAAACTCTTGCAGAATCATTCCTTACCAAGTTCCCTTCGGTAAATTCCTTGACAGCTCATGCAATACTGTCTTCAGGAGGCTTGCTCAAAGAGTTTCTTGAATGGTCCTATGAAACCAGGATCTGTGCAATTCAAAAATATCAAGTTCCTGATGAAAGTATCACACTATTCAGTGCTTTATGCAAATATGGTGAACTGGAAGATTCTAAATCAATTATGACAGACTGCTCCTCTTCAGTGTCTTCAGGTCCAGATTCAGGAAGATTCAGAAAGAGACGAAAATACAATGGTAGCCCTGACAAATATGATATACAAATGAATGGCTTATTGCACCTGGAGCAGTTAAACCGATTCACTGATGGCATCTTGGATCCTTCTACAATTTCCAAGCTACCTGATTCATGTATGTCAAAAAGCCCCAAAAGACATGATGAGTTCAGAAGGCCTAGGTTCTCTCAGAATGATTTGCTTGATCAAGAACAGGGTTTGGATATGGATATGATGATGAGTCCTTTTAGGGTTCTTGAGACATATGATTCTCAGATCGCCAAAGGGCCTCAGTCATTAAACGAGATAAAAAGGTCTTGTTTATCTTCGGAGGGTAAGCTATCAGGCCAGAAACACCGATCAAATATGCCTATCATGAACAAATTTGATTTGAATACCATGAAGAACTCTGAGATTCTGCTTGAGGACCTAAGAGGGGAAGTCATTGACCTAACAGATAGTCCTGTATTAGATGAGGACTTTTCTTCCATTGCCAACTCCATGAAATTCTCATCTTTGATGCCTGAGTTGGAAATAGATTCCACAAGGAAGTCTAAAGCTGCGAGAAAATTGTCATTTGATTCAAGCAGTCACCGTACATTCCCAACAGCTGCTGAAATAAACTCAAGTTCAACTGTTTGGCATTCTGTAAAAGACCCAAGAAAAAGTTCGCAAGTTGGAGCCAACAATAACTCAGATACGGATCTTGAACACGATGTTTTCTCATTGAGACACCGTAACAAGCCCTTAGAGGAGGGTTTTATGCAGAGGTCCGGTGGAAAAACCCAAGGGCTACATCTCCACGAGAATGATATATCACATTATGGAGGAACACCACTCAAAAATGCTCTCCGTTCAGGCAATTCACAACAAAATACTCCCTGGACAATAGAGTTTCTGAACAGAATCAAGGAAAAGAGCAGGTTGCGTCAACAGTCCCTTCCACGTGACTTATCTGGACCTAGTTTGGGTTATTTAGGGAATGTATCGAAAGTTACCAAGAGAAGAAGTCCGTCAATTATTGAGTTTTTCAAGTACCAAGGTGGTAACACTTCGAGAAAATTACCAGAAACAAAGAGGCAGAAGCGACCTTTACAATCATCAAGCTCATCCAAGAAAGAAAAAGGTTCAGCATCTCCTCTTACCGCATGGACACCTGCTGATAAGAGAGCGAGACAGGTTGTCTAGTATCCCTTTTGGCATTTTGATAGTATGAATTTTGTTTTATTATAATTCACTTTGCATAGACGGCATTCCTGTCTTTGATGGTTTCATACTGATATCAATTTATTTATTTATTCACTTGATCAACTGCAGACACTATCTTTTGCAATGAATGATAGCGGAAGCCAAACAAAGCTTGTCTGGAGTGATGGAAGTCATGGTCTGAGGAAAAAGTTTTAGATTCAAACACGACAGGGCTAGGTATGTTGGTGCAGATGTTTCTTTTTATATTTTCCTGGATGGAACATTAAAATGATATATGTTGCATGTCGGTTTCTGAATGGATACTTTTCTGCCAGTTCTGATTCTGCTGTAATTAATATTGATATGACAAAAATATTGAACAGCTAGTAACTAGAAACTCATGTCACAACTTCTTGTATTCTCTAATGTGCTTTTTGGCCCCGTCCATGTCTTAATTTGCGAAGAAACTTTGCATGCATTTCTCTCTCTCTCTCTCTCTCTCTCTTGTTAGTGGCTACCGACGTCATATTGATCACTACTGACAATTAACTGAACTCGAACTACTTCAGTGTCCCAATTTTATGATAGACATCTCTGTTTTCATTAACCAAATTTGCACATTGAAAAAAGTTGTATATTAAAAATTCTCTAGACGAATATCATGAATGAATGAGTAATGCTGATACAAAAAAAAATATGTTAACTATAATGAACATGGTACAATATTCATGAAAACTGAACTCACTTATGAATCCTAGATCTTCATCCTTCATACTCCCAGAGTCCCAGATGGATTCTAATTGGAGAGCGATGAACAGAGTCATGAGAAAGTAATGTCTATTGCTGCAGAGTCTATGTCTTGATAATGCTCGGGTAATAGGCTAATAGTAATGGATAATGTTTTAGACTAGTTTTATCGATAAATGCAAATTAGGGAGAAATAAATTTTTTATTATAAAGAAACCATTATAGCCGCGCGGCTATACTATTTATTTATTTATTTTAAAGCGTATAGACTATTTTAAAAGTATTGCCGCTATACTGTAGAAATAGAATATTTTAAAAGTATAGCCATGCTACTATACTTTATAAATACCGTAACCTGAATTTCTCTTTTTTAATTAATTTAATTATTACTTATGTTTTAATTATTGTTTAATTAGTAAATAATTAGTATTTAAGAATTTTATTAAATTTAAATTTTTAAAAAACTAAATACTATTTATTAAGTGATATCATTTATGAAGTTAATTAAAATATTTAATACCAATTATTCGCTAGAGAAATAATAGTTAGAACATAATTATTAATTAAAGTAATTAAATCTGGCTAAGATATTATTTAATTACTAAAAAGAATTTTTTTAAAAAAAATTTATTGACCTAAAGATACTGAGTTTATATTTATTTTTTAAAAAACATCTCCCGACGAAATTTCGTCAACACAGGTATATGCCGGCAAAGATTTGCCGGATTAGATCTCTCCTGACGAAATTTCGTCGGCATATTTATTTTCATCGGGAAAGGCATAGACTTGTGTCGACGAAATTTCGTCGGGAGAGGTTGTTTTGCCTTTTTTTCTTTTCTTTTTCTTTAAATATATAAAAATATAAAATTAGTTTCTTTACTTTTTTTTTGGTCAACTTCTTTAATTTAATATATGTAATTAAGAAATACCTTACCTTTTTTCAATTACTTTAATTAGTAAGAATGTTTTAATTATTATTTCTTTAGTGAGTATTTAAATTTTTTACTGATTTTTTAAATTACTTATTATATAGTAAATAATAACTAAAATAAATGCGTATGTGTACAATATGTGTATAGTTTGCTTTTATATATTTAAAAAAACGCGCATTATACCAAGTCTTTAAGACGTATACGGAAAATGAAAGTATTATTGACAAATATGTATGTATGTGTATAATACGAATATTAGATGAGAAAATGCTAAATTCTTTATATGGATAATAACTCTGAAAAGTAAAAAATCAAAAGGGGACAATAGCTATACCTTCGGATAGTAGTTATGTTTTTTAAATAACTATACCTTTTTAATGGCATAATTTGGATTTCTCTTTTTTAATTACTTTAATTAGTAGTTATATTTTAATTAATGAAAAATATGCGTGTGATGTGTGCTTCAATCAAGAACTTGACAGGTTCTGCAATTGTAGTTGTTTTTTTTTGTTTTGGTGAAAAAAATATGAGGGCTAGGTTGGGTGAGGAGAAAGGAAGGAGTCGAGGTAGGGGTATTTTGGGAATAATGGAGGGTCAATGGAGTGTGAAATAGCGCTAGAGGAGGGAAACAAAAATCTCAAATTGGATAAGAACTGATAGAGTTCATAAGTATATACATTGGAAGGCTGCATCCACTGGAAGTTTGGCAAATGCTTGACTCACAAGAACTAGAGTTCCGTGAAGGTCTTTATAAGACTTACTCTTAGAAATAGGATAGTTTGAATTGGGCTATGCAAGTGGCCTAATCGAGCGGCTTGTGGCCCAATTAATTAAAGGACACTGCAACCTGTTTAGGTTTGAAAACTTGCCTTCAAGTTTATTATATCTTCATACAGCTTTGTGTTTTCCTTTGTACAAACACAAGAAATTTTTTATCAACTTACAAGTAAAGCATTTGAGGCTTCGGTTTGAGCTTGAGCCGGAGGGTTGTTTGGCAAAGTCTCCTTTCGGTTCTCTCGTGTCTGCATTGTAAACAAATTACTTCGCCACGAGGAGGAAGAAGAGCAGGTTGAGAGAGCTCAAGACAGCCAAGAACAAACAGTAGTAGTCGAAATGAGAGATCTTTAGGTTGTCCAAAATCCAACCCCTGCCATGTTGCTTGGTGATGTTTGAAACTGTTGAGAGAAGAAAACTACTAAGAAAGCTTCCAATTCCCAAGCTGGTTGTGAAGTATGAGGTCCCCAGCTGCAATTCCGTAATCTGTACAGTTCCCAAGGCTCAACATCTCAGAGGATGCTAGTTCTTCTTACTGCTTCTGAGGTTGCGCACAGTCATTACAAGTTGTTGCCGTTCACCTTCAACCTCTGCAAATCTGAGACTTATCTCTGAATATCTTTCTTGCATATCCTTTAGTTCTTTTTCCATAGATTTGTTTCTTTCCTTCAGTAATGTCAATTCAGTCAGCAAGTCTGTAAAATTATTCTCATCACTGGTATGGAAAGTGGCGGCTTTCAACTTTTTCTCTGAGCAATCTTCTGTTTTCCTGTGAAATACAATGAAAAGTTAATAAATGGCTATTCTGTAAAGTTGCACTCTACTTCTTTACTGGTGACAGTAGTTCTTTTTGCTCACATCTACATGCATACTTTGATCAAAACTCAAAAATAAAAAACAATAAACAGCTGGTATGTAGATGGAATGGTGTAATTGGATAATTAGTTGGGATAAGCAGAGATGAAGTCAAAGTTTGATTGATTGAATGCTTGTACCTTTGACCCTGTAACTGAGATATTTGTTTCCTCAAGCTTTCTTTTGCCAATGCTTCCTTATACAAGGTATCCTTAAACTCCTTGTGCTGGGTCCTCAGGTTTTCCACTTCTGACTTCAGATAAGTGATTGTCGTTTCCTTCTCTTCTTTTAAAGATCTCATATTGGTAAGTTCTTCATGTGTTTTCTCTGCTTCCTGCTTTGCTGAAGCAAATCTTTTCTCCAAATTATCCTTTTCAACATTCAAACACTGGATCCGCATCTCATTTTCAGCAATTAGTTTGTTCATTTGTTTCAATCTCCTCTCAATTTCTCTTCCTCCTGTTTTGTGGAGTTAGAATTCTCTTCTGTGAGCCTTTCTATCTCAGCTTTGAGCATTTGCATTTTCATTGAGAGAGCTTCATGTTCTTCCTCCTCATGCTTTTTTGCATGTTCAAGGAGCTTGGATTTATTGTCTAGTTCTAATGATATCTGCTCTATATGCTTTGCTTTCACATCAATCTGGTTGACAAGATCTTGCAATCTTACTTCATTCCGGTCCTTAATCAGCTCTAACTCTTCATTGGCTTCCTGGAGCATCTCTTCCAGAATTCTGTTCTGCTGACGCAGTTCATTAGCTTCTGCCAGTGCTTTTGTGGCCTGCTTCTCATTTTCATCAGCCTTAGATGTCATTTCCACAGAAAGCCTTCTAAACTCCTCTTGAAGACGCTCAGCTGTAACAGAATTATTCCACCTTGTCTTTTTCAATGCTTCCTCTGCTTGGATGGCCCTCTGTTCTTGCTCAACCTTGGCACATGTCACGGCCTCCAGTTTCTCTTCAAACCCCTTGGCCTGCGTCTCCAGTTCTATCTCCAAAGACTTAACCTCACTTTCAAGTTCCTGAATGGAGATCAAGCATTCTGCAAATTCATGTGCTTGCTTCTCAATTGTTTCTTCTGATCTCTCTAACTGAGATTCAAGCTCTTTTATAGTAGCTATATAGCCTGCCCGCTCATTTTCCATCTCTGTTCGTAGTCTTTCTTGGTTACGATCTAACTTCAAAGAGATGCCACAGTTGTCCTGCTTTAAAAGGTCATAGTCCAAGGTGAGCTGTTTTATATGCGCATCTTGCTCTTCCCTCTTCTTCTCGTGGGTGTCTATTTCACTAAGAAGTTCTCTGATCTTAAGCTTCAAGGATTCTACTTCCTGGACATCACTGCGCTTCTTAGTCAGTTTCCCTGCAGATTTTTGGATTTCATCCTCAAACATTTTACCCATCACTTTGGAATTCTTTTCAGTTTCTAACTTGCTTGAAAGATCAGCTACTTCCCTTTTTTCCTTCTCCAACGCGTCTTCAAGATCCTTCACCACTAGGACTAACTCAGAATTTGAATCTTGTGTCCTCTGCAGTTGCAAGTGAAGATTGGTTCTAACTTTCTTTTCAAAATTAAGCTCTTGCTTGATTGCTTCTAACTGAACTCTTGTATCCTTGGTCTCGGGCTGCAACTTTTTGAAAGCCTGTTCCCCATCGCTACGTCCCTGCGAGGACTTAAGTTGTTCGCATTCTATTCTGAGTGCATCTCTCTCCTCTTTAAGGCTAATAACTTGTCTTGAGAGATTCTGTCCTTGTTTACTCTCTTTGGCCATCTGTTTCCGAAGAGACTGTAACTCCAGTTCTGATAGGTCTGCCTGCCTCATAAGAATAGCAATTTCATTTCTGAGTTTCTCAATGGAATCATCTGAACCCGCTTGCACCCTTTCGGTTGGAAGCTTGTCTTCAACACTATTTGGTGAATCAAATAAACTTCCATCTGATGACCAATCCAAGCTTGATTTTTGACGCATATGGTTTTTTATTGAGGTGGCACCGTTGTTTCCGTTTTGAGGCATGGAGTTTTGTTCAAGGGGTGACAGGGAACTGGCAGCATCCTGATGGCCATTAGTGGTTTTGTCGCAGGCTCCATTCTGTTCGACAACATGAAATACATCTGTGTTAAGTTCATTTAAATAATTTCATCTCGTCTGAACTGCGTTAAAAGAAAATGCTAGAAAATACCGTACTTCCGTAAAACTGAGGTGGTTGCTTCCATCTGTATCCCAATTGCTGTTTTGGATGTCCATGCTGCTATGGCGTGAAAGAGTCGGATCATCACCTTCTTCAATTTCCCTGAGATTAGATAAATTTTATTATTAACTAGCACAAGGGGAAAGCAAAAGAAAATTAAAATACATAAAAGTTAGAGCAGGAAAGAATGATGCGTTAGTGTTGATTGTCACCTTTGATCACCATCTTCCTGAATCCTGTGAATTGTTACCTGTCTCAATAATTTTCGTAAGTATTAGTTTTTTTTTTTTAAGTCAATGACATTGAAGTTTTGTTTTGTTCTGAGAACAGACAGAACTAGTTGTGTTAAATCATGAGAATTTCTCGAGTGCGTGTGTGTTTCAGAGTGAGAGAAATAGAGCGGACTGACATGTAAAACTACACCAGAGTTTGCAAATTTAAGGGGCAGAATGACTGTTAGGGGTTCAGTTTCTGCCACAATATCTGCAAAATCAATTGAAGCTTCTCCAAGATAACCAGCTTTTGACGAGCCCTGCAATAACCCATTAGAATTAGAACATACCAAAAGAAGGCCAGAAACAAAAAGGCAAAGTGAGAAAAAGAAAAACTCTCAAAACAATATATTCTTCCATACAGTTGAAACAATGAAGTGATAAATCTTCTCTTTCAGTTTTCCCGTTTTTGATTCCTCAATGAGTTTCACTGATTCATAAACTGGATTCTCCCAAATACAGGTTCCATCCTGAACTGCAGCTTTTCCTAGTTTCACCGTCGGCTTTCCGACGTCGTCCGGCACCAAAGACAACATCAAAGCAGGCTTTTTCAATTTCGGCACCTGAGATGAAAATGGTCAGGAAGAAACCAGGTATGATAAATCTTGTCTCTGTAGATCACATTTCAGATGAAATCGTTTGAATACAAAAAATTGAAACTTCCAACCCATTGAGAGTAAGTAGTAGCAGGAAAGAAGATGGTTTAGATCATACCTGCGTTGCCTGAAACTGCAGTTGGAATATAGCTTTTATCTTCTTCTTCTTGCTCCATGACTTGAACATGTTTTTCAGTCTTCTTGAGTTTTCAGATCTCAGAAATCCAAGTCACTGTCTTCGTCTAAGACTTTAGCAAACAATGCCTGCCTTTCTGAGCTTTATTCACCGAAAGAATTAGGCTGATATGGTTAGAAGTCCAAGTAAGGTATTTTTCTTTGAAAATAACACATGAATATTCTGAAATGCCCGTCTAGCTGTTAAACCTCATATCTAGCTGTAAGTAGTAGATACTTCGTAGACTTTGAAGAAGAAGACTCAGGGCAGCAAAAGATACAAATAAAAAAATGTTATTGCAGAAACAAAATAAGAAGCTTCGCTGTAATGGATTTAATGCAATCGTTATATGTTTCAAGAAAGATATCTGAATCGCATTACAGTTTACTTTCCGCTTTTAAAAAGGTTAATAATGCGTCGTTCGTAGAGTTTAAATGACGGAAATTACCCCTCCTCTTTTTGGTAAGTAAAACGGCCCTGCTCTTTAATTTTAGATCTTCATTACCCAAAAGATGGCCTTCTTTACGAGCTGCTGCGTGCGAATCCTATGCGGATTAGGTCAGTTGATTAAGACAGTATTTCATTTGAATTCAAACTATAGATTGTTAAACTAATATAAAATATCGTTATTGTCAAAAGTTAAAACCACATGATAGTGAAAACTTTACTTGACCAGACTTTGAAGGTCTAATAGGCCACTCAAAAAGTGATATGAGGACAACCAGAGTTTGATAGGTCACCTTGGAAGTATTGATTGAGAAAATGGTCCTGCCATGAGAAAAACAATCTCATCATCATAGGGCCCGGCCAGTCTGAAAAGACGAATCAAAGTTGCCGCATTTATGTGAGTGCCTGCCTGCCTTGTCGGTTGTCCAAGACTAATCTAAATTCCTCAATTAATTAGATAATAATTGAGGAAGCACATGGCGTTGGTTGGAGCCTTGGTTCAACCTCAACACGTGGCCTGCTCTGTGCTCCACGTGATCGTATTTATCTTCTTTCCCCTATTTTCTTATAAATTTGGAAAATGAAATTTGTTATTTTTGCCGAGTACCAGCTTCCTAGTTGATTTTTGGCTTAATTATGTATATACCATCTGTGCTTTCAAACTTATTTTAGATTATCACATGTGTTTGCAAACGTCTTAAAGTACCCCACAATATTTTAAAAACCGTCTCACGTTACCCATTCCGTCAATTTTTTGACGTTTCATTACGAACGTTGGGCTCCACTTCGTTTTTTTCTCCTTATTCCCCCCCTCCCATTTGAGAACAGCAACCCCTCCCCAACCGGCAGATTTTCAATTGCTTATTTACTCTCCAAAACTCAGAAATTTCTCCTAACCAACACAACTAGCAGCAATAACAGCTAACCAACACAACTAGCAGTAAGAACAGCTTGAGATGTTGAAAAACCATACATGGATCGAAGCAAATGGTGCTCGGAATCGCCCGAACGAGCGATGGAGATTTTGGGTAAAAACCGGTCAATTTCTTACTTGTTCCGGCGATCCAAACGGCGGTTGGTAGCGGCTGAGATGTGAGGCTGGTAGAGGACAACGTGCTGGTTCTTTTGATACCCATGTCGTCGCTTGGAGTGGCCGGAGGAGGAGATGGCGGCCCAAAAACTGTTCGGATGAACAGTAACAAATGGGAGGGGCTGCTGTTCTCAAACAGTAACAAAAACTTAACAGAACGTCAAAAAAACTGACGGAATGGGTAACGTGAGACGGTTTTTAAAAGGTTGGGGGGGTACTTTGAGACGTTTGCAAACACATGTGGTCATCTAAGATAAGTTTGAAAGGGACATGTACATAATTAAGCCTTGATTTTTTTGGTATAGACAACAGGACAGGAGCAGACAATTTTTGTCATAAACATTTAAATGACATTCTGGCTGGGCATATGAATGGCAATGTTGCTAGGTTTTTAGGTGCATTGCTCCTTCTCAATGCTTTCTGGGGTACAATTTGTGAGTAAGATGTCTCTGTCTGTTCCCAAATCACTTCACCAATAAATTACTTAGGATTTGACCTAAAAAACAACGTAGCATAGCATGTATGTATAATAATACCAGTGGCCATGCTACTTCTCCTCGTAGTATAGTCAGCCAATTAAGGATGGCAGACGATTAACTAGAAAACTAGTTCAACTATGAATAGTTGGGGGTGGGGTTTTATTAATTTTATTTATTTAAGTGCAAGTATTATTGAATGAATACAATACAAGGAACGTAGAGGGGAAATGATTAAAGATGGAAGACAGATGTCACTTGTTTTCTGTTTGCTTTTTCAAATTTTGGGTCTGTTGTTAACAATGAAATGAGCCAATGCTTCAGTTCAACTTGGGCCTAGAATGTGGGCTGAATTTGGGCTTTTAACGCGACTTTAAAATGACGGGAGTGGCTGTGAGCCTGAGAAGGATCATTGAATAATAACGAACAAGTATGAAGCTGGACAGAATCAGGAATTTCATTGGAGATGATGGGTCCCTTCTTAATCAGGGTATGATGTCACCGATGACTTCAACCACAGAAGGACGTCGTATGGAAATTTGCCCTAGAATACCTTACTTGTCATGAGAATCGCATGGAACACCCTGAAGAGCCAGAGAGAAAGACCAACAAAGGGAAGAAAACGACACACAGTTGGGTACACCTAGTCAAAAAAGTCTCCTATAGACAAGAGCCAACGTGGCATCGATCACAGATTGTTTCAAGATCTCAATCCGACGGTCCAAATGGGTCGACATAAACTGGTGGAAAGTTTTGAGAAGACAATACCAAGAAAAAAAGAGATAAAATCATAAATAAAAAAGGGGTTTTCCATATGTATATATATGTATATAATTGACTCGTTTCCAGGAAAGAAATAATTAAGAAGAAGAGAAGAGGGGAAGAAGAAAAGGAAAGAGATGGCGTTAAGGGTACCAGCAATTCCATTCACGTTTGTTGCACACACGCTTGGAATCGCAGCTTTGGTTCTGGTTTTGGTTTGGAACATACACTTCAGAGGTGGTTTCGCATGGGAAGCTACAAACAAGAACCTCATCTTCAACGTAAGTCTTTCTCTCTTTCTGGGTTTATTATGCATAACGTTTCTTTTCATTTTCGCATACTAGTGCATGAATTAGATGTTTGTTTGTTCTTGATTGATCGATCGATGTAAATTTTGTTTCTTCTTCTTGATGATATGGTGTTGGATACCACTCTTTTTTTTTATTTTGTTTTCTGACGACCGTTATTGGCGCTGGTCACGGAGACTTTTAAGCAAGCAAATGGTGCCTTTTCTTTTTCTTGTTTTCTGACGACCGTTAGTTTTTCCATTTTCTATTTTCTATTTCTTCTTTTGGGTGAGTGTGTGTGTAGATTATTAACTAGAGTTGAGAATTAAGAAACACTAATTAATAATAAATCACTTAATCAAGTTGAAGAGCATGAAAAGCAGTCGTTTTGATGGTTAGGTGAAGGTGATGATGCATGGCTATCACAAGTTTACCTACCGTTCTAAGTCCAACACACCTACCCCTGTAATTTGAATATCATCATTTATTTTATTAGTTTGGGGTTTTAGCGTAAATAAGTGGAACACGTATGGCAGCTAGCTACCATAACCATAAGAGTTGCACATTCACATACTTAACTTGTCCAAAGTTGGAAACAACGCTGAATGTTGAGTAGTCACGTGTCTGTCTGTATCTGCCTACCTGGACACCTTCGTCTCTTGTGATGCTAAGTGAACGATCATCATTTATCCACATCAGCAGATGATAATATTCTTAAACAAATTACCAACAAAAGATAATAAATATTCTTAAATCAATTGTCTCATCGTTTCTTTCTTTCTAGCGCCTTCGTCTCTTTGGATTGGATTAGTACACAATTGAGTTTATCCTCTCTAGATAATATAGCTGGCACTTGGCAGCCTGGCAACACTCGAGTTTTCAAATCATCACTGTGGCCCGCCTTCGATTCCTTTCCTAGGTCAATTTATTCAATGACTGTCGTTTTCTTCTGGACTTTTATTTACGTTTCCTAAATATTTTTATTTCTCTTGGCTCTCAAAACTCAAGGAAAAAGAAGAACATACTTCCCAAAAAAGTCCAAGTGGCCCATAACGAAATTAACAGGGTTGATGGTGTGTCCGTTGAGTTTGACTGGCCTTAATCTATGCGGAATAAATAAATAAAACAATGGCCCACGAAAAGAAACAAAAAAACAATGGCCCAATATCATGGCCCAGTTATAATATTTTTTTTATCTTAATTCTATAATTCCTTGTCCGATAATCATTTGTTTGTTAAACGTGTTTGTGCAGCTCCATCCTTTGCTCATGCTACTTGGTTTAATTATCTTGGGAGGAGAAGGTAATTAAAATGTTTCATCCCTTTTGCAATTTTAATTACTGAGTTTTGCACTCGGTCTGATGTTGATCCCAAAACCAAATATTGCAGCCATTATTAGTTACAAATCACTTCCTTTGAAGAAACAGGTGAAGAAACTGATACACCTGGTTCTTCATGCTCTCGCGTTAGCCCTGGGTATCATTGGTATTTATGCTGCATTCAAGAACCATAATGAGAGTGGGATTGCCAACCTCTACAGCTTGCACTCCTGGATTGGGATTGGGGTCATTGTTCTCTATGGCATTCAGGTATAAATCCTTAATCCCATTTTGCATAACCTAACCACTAAAAACTCGACACTCATTTTCCAACATGGTGGTTGTTAACTGTTCATATATGTGGATCATAGTGAAGCGTACACATGTATGTCAACAGTTGACAACCACCCACACAATCGATCAGACAAGACAATTGTCGTTCAAATTTTTCCTGAACCTAATTATTTGTATAATTTTTATGGGCAGTGGATATATGGGTTCTTGATTTTCTTCTACCCTGGAGGAAGTCCTACCCTAAGGAGTGAGTGTATGCCATGGCATGTGGTATTTGGGCTCCTTGTGTACGTTTTGGCTGTGGCCAATGCTTCACTAGGGTTCTTAGAGAAGCTTACATTCCTTGAGAGCTCAGGAGTGGCCAAATTTGGCTCTGAGGCCTTTCTTGTCAACTTCACTGCTCTCGTCACAATATTATTTGGAGTCTTCGTTGTAATTTCAGTTCTTTCTGAAGCTCCTGCTCCCATTGAAGATGACCACAGCTATTCATCTATATGATTATATAACAATATTGTTAAATAGTGTACTTGGCTGTAAGTTGAAGGACTGAAGCATGGGTACCTATTATTTATTATTTACGTGTAGCCTATACATGAACATGATAAAACATTTGTGACCACTTATTCATAATTATTAGCATGCCCATCTTACTTATTTTACTTTTATTTCATTGCAAGCTTCTTACCATGCTCGTACGTGTGTGCGTGTGAAAGAGATTATAAGATTTCGAGAATCATAAAAATTGCATGTTCAATTTTATTGTTTGATAAGAACTGCGCATGATACAACGTAATTATGTTGTGGTGTAAATGAGAGCAACAGGTTTTAATTTGTTGGTTGTGATTTTGGGGACCAACGATTATATATTGGTGTCATTGCAAGATTGCTCGCCACTCAGACACTCGAGCAAGAAGACAACTGCAAATTGCTCAAGTGATTTGGTAGAGTACGTAGAATCTTAACCACTTGTGTGTTATCAATCAAGGGAATCCGAATGGCTCAAGGTAATTTTCCTTAAATTTGTTTCATGTTCTAAGATTCTACGCTAGCGCTATATAGGCTGATTCAAAATGCCTGGTTTATTCCTTCCTCTGTCAGAGCTTGCAGAGATACAGAAGGAAGTCATTCAGTCTCGTGTAAATACATGGGAGACCAAACAAAAAGCAAAAGTTGATAACAAGTAAGCAGAAGCATAGCAATTTTGGAAAAAGCCTTTGGAAATGAATTATACTGATCATGATAAAATTATGTATTGACGAACAGAGCTGACAAAATGAAAGCCATCAACGAGGAGAAAAAGAACGCAAGTGAAATAGACCTGGAGGCCTTGGGGAAGAAGATTGAGGTCGTTGCAGGGCTGCACTTTTATTTGTTTATCAAATTAATAATCTAATATTAACATTTATAATTAATTTATATATGCATGATGGAGCAGACAAAAGTTGAGAAGCTAAGACATAAGGAACTGGAAAAGATGAAGAACAAAGAAGCTCACTCGATCAAGGTCATAGAAGACACCAAGGTCAAAATTGAAGCAAAACGCACCCATGGACTTCAGAAAGTTGAGAAGAAGGCTGAAAAATTTCGTGGCGGCAATTCTTTGCCAACCAAGTGTTTTGGTGTTTGTGTAGACGAGTGAAAACCCCCCCACACCACGCCACACTAGACTAGACGCAATCAAATTTTCGTGTAATTAATAAATCAATATTATCATAATTATAATAAAATTAGCTAATAAAGTAATTAACTGTGACATTGTACACGAATAATTGTACCCTTTTTTTTTAATGATATAAATGACCTAGGTGGATTTTATCTTTTCAATCGTTTTATCCAGAAACTGAATACGAGACAGCACACGCATTCGACCAAAAACATAAGAGAGACAGCACACGACTACGACATGTAGTCATATGTACATTTTGTCTGAGCTGGGACACGTGTTCAATATGGACATAGACACGTCCGCAGTTGCGCAGCAAAGGGGTCCACAACGTGGCACTGTGGCAGTTGGTGCTTTAACGTTTTCCAACTGCCGACAACATTTGCTCTCGTGTGTCCAGTAGTATTTGGAACTCCAAATTTCGGTGGTAAGCCTAAGCCACCTCAAAAACTCTCGAACAGTCTGAAACAAATTTTTCATACAAAAGATGTTGGTGTGAAGGATAATTCGAATACAAGATTTCAGGTAGCGAAGGAATCTCTCCTCTACTTCTCTAAAACACACACAAACTCTTGAATAATTATGTATTTGATATACTTGTATTTTCTCTTTCGAGACTCTTCTAAATTTTACAATTCTAACTTTAATCATGATCTATGATACATGCATGAGCAGCAATGACTTCAGCTAGAATTCTTTACACAAATCTCAATAAGTTTTTCTTCTTCCGAAGGATCTTTTATTTTGTGGTTGCAAAATTCTTGCGAGGGCTAATAATACAGACACAAACACATGTGTCAAGCCTCAAAGCAAATCAGACGAAATTATTACCCAAACAAAAAGGGCAAATCAAACGATGGTACAGCAGGTGGGTTTAAATTCTTTATCATTTTCAATACAACTGTATATATAGCAATGCATGCATGTGGCCTGGGCCAAGCTCCTTTTGGCCTTCCCAAATAAACTGCATTCAATCCTCACAGAGCTGAAGTGGGAACAAAAAGATTTTCTTTCTCTTTCTAATTACAGAAAGAGAGAGAGAGAGAGGCAGTTACAATGTTTGGCGTTTTGAGGGGGTGGATGGAAAAGTAGATTGATAGAGAAGGGTGGCAAGTCACTTTACAGTGTGGCCTACAAAGATTCCATCGCCAACGCGATAATCATAGAATCTTGACGAGAGCTGATGAGCTCCTGCTCTGTTATTCTTGATCGTACAAAATATCTATTTTTGGAAATAAATAAATACAGATCACTTCAGTCCAAAAGAAATTCCGAATAATTCTTTCATCATTCTAATTGTTAACTACATACAGTGTTGTTAATTTGTCTCTTAACATTCGTTTACCTTTTCTAAAATGAAAACATTAGCTCACCACCTAATTACTAACACAAAGCCAACTCTCTCTCTCTCTCTCTTGATTTGGCGTTTATGAAAATATGGAAACTCATAAACTGTCCAATTCAAAAGGCAAAAATATTCCCTCATATACTGTATCAAGAATATTAATTTACTCGATTAAGAGTCACTAAAAGTTAAAGATAACATGCAATTTCTTCTTTTGGTAATCAAAAGCTATTAGGTTACTTTATAAAAGAGAAAAACAAATGTTCTTATTTTCACACGAGTATATGAAACCGTTTACTGTTATCAATTAATAGAGACGTACGATATATAGTACTCGAATTTAGAATCTATTCTAATGTTTAGAACAATAGTATGCACTTTTTAGAAATAACAACTTTGATTTTGGCGATGAAAGACACTACCTTGTTAAACAATTACACGCTGGTGCATAGAGAGAACCGCAGGAGGACATTAACAATGCTAGTGCAAGACTGAACAACAATGGAGCTCTCCTTGATAATAACATTTTCTTATTATAATAACAAAAGTTAATGTGTTTTTTCCTCTTCTTTTAATTAATCACTTTGATTAAAATTGTCACACTCTGTGTTTCTTACTCAAAAAGTATTGACAATTCATAAGAGGCCACATGTACCTACCATCCAGCTCATGAGCTAATTAGGTTTTTTTAAGTAACAGTTACCTTCCTCCAACTATACCACCTATACAATCTCAACCATATCTCTCTGTGTTGCTTGTACAATCTTCTTTCTTAGTATATACACAGTGAACTTGCTTTTGAAAGCTTCCAGTTTCTTCCATTTGCGAAAAAAAAAAAAAAAAAAAAAAAAAAAAAAAAAAAAAAACAAAACAATATTATAAAAAAACAAAAAAAATAAAATAGAGAGAGACCCAAGGAAGCTAGAATCCGAATCAACCCTCTCGGATCTCTCCATCCTCGCTCCTGCTCCGGCTCCGGCTCCGGCCCCGGCAGAGGAAGAGAAGCCGGTTGTGGAAGCTCCAAAAGATCCTCAGCCAACTAAGGACAAATCTGAAACTCCACCACCCCCTGCCCCTGAACACAAAGCTGAGGCTGATCACTCCAAAGTTCTTGCTATTGTTGAGAGTATATTTCTCCAAATCCCCCTTCACTTTATTATATTTTCTTTATTGTTAAAGTTTATAACTTTATCTGCTTGGTTGGTGAGAAAAGCAAATCTCGCTCTGATCACTTCTTTTATTGTCACCCCATCATGAATCTGATTTTCTTATTCTTTGATGACTTGGGATTGCTTGTCTTGTCTGGCATATATGTTCTGTTTCTAATTCTTGAGATTTTTTGTTTTACTTTTAAAAAATAAAATAAAAAATTTTAAAAATTGGTCTTTTAATGTTATTTTCCCCGTAGTTTTTTTACCAATAACTATTTCCTTCTGTCCTCTTTTGGTACCCGCTTGCTTTCTCTAATTGTTTTGAATTTCGTTCCCTTTTCCCTGTATTTTTGTAGTAAATATTGTTTTCTGTATCAAATTATATTTCATAGTCTTCTTCTTTTTGTTAGAAATTATATTTCAGTGTCAGGATTTGATCGAGTTAAGTTCTGTTAGACACTTCAGAATTTGAACTCCGAAAGTTCTTCCATTAGATGGACCAAATTACCATTGCTTTTGCTTGCTATATAATATCCTTGGCATCACAAATTTGAAAGAAGCTTTTTTTTTCTCCTCCCATAGAGCCTTCTGAACCTGCTGCCGAAGAGAAAAGTAAGGAGGGTTCAGTCAATCGAGGTGAGTGTTGTTTCATCCCGAGCTTCTTAATTTCAATCCTGCTTGTTGATGTAGGTTTAACTTTCTCCTATCTTCTTCAGATGCTGTGCTTGCAAGAGTTGCAACAGAGAAAAGGCTGTCACTTATCAGAGCATGGGAAGAAAGTGAAAAATCAAAGGCAGAGAATAAGTAAGGACTTTCCTTGAATATTGAGTTTAATTCAGTGAGCATCATATTATGCAAAAGTTTATGGAAGCTCTGGCATTGCTATCTGTATACCAATGGAATCATCTCATTCTAACGAAACGATTAGATTTTCCATTTCCACCAAGTCCGTTTGATATAATTTGATATACTGAAGTGAATGTATTTTGTGTTGGAAAACAGAGCTCATAAGAAGCTATCTGCCGTTGGTTCATGGGAGAACACCAAGAAGGCAACTGTGGAGGCTGAGTTGAAAAAGATTGAGGTAACAATTCATTCATTTCCTCTATGATCTTATTAAGTTTTGTGAGTGAGATAACATCAAATCCAGTACTTGAATTCCAATAAGAAAGAGAGCAATTGTGCATGAGCAGGAAAAATTGGAGAAGAAAAAGGCAGAGTATGTGGAACAGATGAAAAACAAGATAGCTTTAATCCACAAGGCTGCAGAAGAAAAGAGGGCAGCGATCGAAGCTAAACGCGGGGAAGATCTTCTTAAGGCGGAGGAAACAGCTGCAAAATACCGTGCCACAGGAAATGCTCCTAAGAAACTACTTGCTTGTTTTTCATCTTAAAATAAATTCAGGTCCTGTTGACAACATTTGAATTATTTGTATATTCTGTTGGCTTGGAGGTACATTTTGTTGATTTAGATGTGTTTATTTCTTCTTGTTGAAATGGGGCATTGGCCAATGTTAGTTATTGTGTGTGTCTTGATAAAGTATGTGTGTGTACATACTACATACACTTGATTTGCAGAAAAAATCAACTCAACTTATTTATCACAAACTTTTTCTTTTTCCCTCTTTTAGATTAATATTTCATTAATTAGACGATCATGATGAATGCTAGTAATGTAAATGATACGTGTGTGTAAACAAATTTATTTTATTTAAATGCGAAATCTTTATGACCATTATATTTTCCTTGGAATGAAAAGGAGGAAGAAGAAGACATTGCTTGCCTTTGTATGTGGAGTTAGTATTTAGCTTGTTTCCACAGAAATCCATGGCTTCCCTTGCACACCCGTGACCTAAGGAATAACTTCATCTCCAAGTTACCTTCATTTAGCTTCTTTCCCTCTCTATAAATACAACATCTTCTTATACTCGTTCATATATGTAGTAGATATGGTAAAGCTTACAATTGTTGGAAGGTTAAGTGATGGTCTGTGTCTTGCAAAAGGACCTTCTTCTTTGAATCAAGAACATGAAAACTTCTCATTTTACAAGAGACAGGGAGAGTTCATACTCGGAGAAATCTCAAGAGGAGCCTTGCCTCCTTCCAAGATGACCATTCGTGCCGATCATCACTGCTTTAAGTATCCTCTTTTTTCTCTCTGTTTTTCCTTTTTCTTTTAATTTTATCTCAAAATCAAGGTAACAAAAATTGAAAATGCTCAAAGAAATCTAAACCATCATAAAACAGGGGACGGTATTTACATGTGTTTTTTTTTTTAACCTAATCCTTTTAAAATGAAGCTACATGGTCGAGAATGGAATTGCCTTCATCACACTCTGCGACTCTTCATATCCAAGAAAACTAGCTTTCCATTATCTACAAGATTTGCAAAAGGAATTTGAAAACTTTGATAGTAGCCTCATTAAGAAAGTCACAAGACCATACTGCTTTGTCAAATTCGGTAATTTTCTTCAGCTAATAGTACCATTTGACATCGATTTGGCTCTTAGCATAAGGTTTAGCACTAGATGTCAAATTAGAAGGCAGATAATTACAAAATAAGTCTTTACGATTTAAATCACACCCCAAAAATTTACGTTTAAATTTTGTTGCGAATGTTTTGCACAACCATGCATGTCACAACTTTGTTTGGCAGATGGTGTGATTGGGAATATTAGAAAGCAATACATTGATACAAGAACACAAGCTAATCTGTCAAAGCTTAATGCTAACCGGAAACAAGATTTAGACATTGCTACTGAAAATCTTTCTGAAATCATAGAGAGATGGAGATATTCAGGTAGGCTTTCTTTTTCATATTTGTAGCTACTTTTACTTTCCTTGTCAAGTCAATGCTATGAACACATGAAAAGCTTCCTCTTTTTGTTCTAAAACTTCTCCACTTAAATTTACAGAAATATTGGAAAGACCGTCGACTAGTACCTCACAAGCTGTTTCACCTATTTGGTGTTCGCCACGCCTTGAGGTACATTTTACTCAAAACTCAGACATAATGGAAATTAAGATAATTTCTTTTATTCAAGTTATATTTCGATATACACAGGTGATTGCAATGAAATGGACGCCTATCACAGTCACTATTTTTGTTGTCACTGTTGTTCTTTGGGCCACCATAATCCATGCAGACGACAATTTCATAATTTTAAACTAAGTGGGGAATTGGGTTAAGAAACCTCCGATTGATCGCGTTGAGTTACTTACACAGATTTGTTTGTTTGATCATCTCGTTCATGAAGGTTATTATGGTTTAAGAATGCTTTGGTTGCCCAGCTGTATAATTTGCATGTACTACACCAGCTTATACAGAAGAAGAAAGATAAATGAAATTACACTCTAAGCTCTTGAAACTCAAGTTGTCTTGGTCAATGAGTATTAAGAATGAGATCAATTCAAAGTCTGTACTTGTTTTTCAAGTAATTCCATATGTTGAAGCAAATATGAAAGAATAACCGCTAATATTGTTACTAAGAAGCATTAGCATAGTTAGAGGTTATTCTTTCACTGTTGCCTTGGAACTTAATTTTTTCCCCTTATTTATAAAAATACATTACATCGTTGTGCAAGTTGAAATCACTACACATATCACCCCCTGATATAAAATCAACAAACCCAGGTCCTGAAATCTGATCCTCAAACTTAAATTGTGATGAATTGATCATCTCAGTAGCCGCTCCATGATGGCTTAGCCCATAATGAAAACCATTCGCAAATGTTCCTTCATTGTTCAATAAAAAATCATGTCCTAGAGCATGATCTGCTTGAAGATTATTAGATCTGTGATCAAAGCCTTCCCTGGAAACCCCAGCCTCACCGATATTATTCGCATAGCTTCCACCATGAACATGGTCTAAGGAAAGCCACTCAGCAAACAAAATCTTTGGTAAAGGGCTTCTGTGAGTTTGATCACCAGTCTGGGGAGTTAATGTTGGTGATTTTTCCACTGACTCATAACTTGGATTAATACAGGTTGTGGGCTTGTGGGGAGATGGTGAACACTCTAAGTTGTCTGAGCTTGAAGTAGTGCTTGTATATTGAGATTTGCTTTGGCCTTCCATGATTTCTTCAGCTTTGGCCACTTTCTTCTTCAAATAAGAATGCCAGTAATTTTTTATCTCATTATCGGTTCTTCCTGGCAAATGCTGTGCAATTTGAGACCACCTGGTTTTAATAATTACTTCTATATTAATATCATTATACATCAACATCCATCATTGACCCAGAAATTACCCTAAATTATGAAAAGTAATGAACAAGTAAACAAGAAAAACAAAAGATGGTTATCTTGCTTGATTGCTTACTTGTTCCCTAACATATGATGGAGGGTCAGGATTGTCTCCTCCTCTTGTTTGCTAAATGTCCCTCGCTTTAACCCCGGCCTCAAGTAATTAATCCACCTTAATCTGCAGCTCTTTCCATTCCTTTGCAAACCTGCATGTATATTATAATCTTATGAATAATAATTACATATGGCATTAAAGTCAAATTGAGGGGGATGTTTAAGCCAATTATATAGAAAAGTCACCATTAATCTCTTTTGCTTAGATACCTCAGAGTTTACCACAAGCTCTATTGTTGTTGGCTCACAGAGCCATCTTTACCAACTCCAAGAGATTAAATAACAAAATGGGGTTATTTTCATCTTGAACTTTTAACACTCGTTAATCTTGCCACAGAATTTGCATTAACAATAGATTGCAGATTGGCCATTTTATATAATTATAAAAAAGGAACCAAAAGCTTGAAATTCTTGATCATCAAAACCATCTTAGATTCCTCTGTCAATCTTTTTTCCAGCAATGTTAAATATAGGCCAATGTGCCAATACTATAATAAAACAGTTATGATGCATTCCTTAATTAGAACCAGGCAGAGTTGATTTAGGGTTGTAGCAAAAAGAACAGAAGAAAAATGGAAAACTCACCGGCGTTTATCGGAACAGAGCTCCAGCAGCCATGGCCATGCTTGAGGATGTAGTTTCGAAGCCTTTGGTCTTCTTCAGGTGACCACAATCCCTTTCTGTGCTTTGGCTTTGCCTTATCTGATGACTTGCAGCCCATTTTTCCACCAACAAAACTTGCAAGTTGCAACTTGTTGTATGTATATGTTGTGAATTATGAGAGAGAGAGAGAGAGAGAGAGAGAGAGAGAGAGAGAGAGGGGAAACTAGGCTGTAGAGCAATGAACAGCTGACCTCAATTGGGCTCTGGTACTTAAAGCAATGATTAGTTGAAGTCTGCTCTTTAAAAGAATTAACAAAGCACGAAACTTTTCATTTTTTATGCCAAACAAGCATGAAACATATATATATTTTATGCTGTTACTGGATTTTCATATTCGATCATGAGGTAAGATAAAGCTGCAAGGTTTTAAGAAAGTCACCGTTGCCCAGGAATGCAAACCTGCCCATATGTAACTAATTTGACTTCTAAATAAACTAATTTAAAGGTTTTAACTTGGGAGAAGTTGTGATCTACTGTGGACCCATGTGGGATTAATTTATAGTAAGTTATACAGGTTAACCTATATAATTTAAACCACCTCTGTTTTTAAGCTCCATTTATAAATTATTAAGACCCTCTTCTCTTCTTTTAGAGTTGCAGAGATTGATTCAAGTTGGTTTTGGTTTTGATTCAAGTTGGAACTTTGTCCTTGGATGGATGTGTAGGTTCATATCCATTTCTTACAACAATTACATCATGATTTTATGAGACTTGTGTTGATGTAAAAGAAAACACACAAGAAAACGACCAACATGCCTCTGATGTCATATAATACTCAGAACCACGCAAATCAAGCTATAAAGATAAAGAATATGCACTCATCCAAAATGTCACTTGGGGATGAGAGTTGACTCTAGTTAAAAAGCAGCTTCTACACAAAAGTGCTTGCCGAAACATTTCTCCATTAATGAAGAAAATAAACGAAATAATTAGAGAGAAGACTTTGGTAGAAGAATCTAATGCATTGATTTCACCAACAAAGTTTTCAAAAGGGTAAGGTTTGATAAAAGTATGAGATCTACTCCACCTCCACTCATGTGGGCAGAGGTTTAAAATCCCCAAGCACCCAAGGAATATTTGTGTAAACTCCCCTCCCCCAATCGCTTGTAGTAAAAAAAAAAATTGGTGCAATTTTTAGAAAACTGCCTCTGCTTTTTATGATGATGCTCTTGGGGGAACTAGGTGACATACATTAAATCAATATCATGCCATCATGGTTTATTATTTTAACCACTTCTCTGCTCTCTCTCTAACCTACCGACGAATTTTTTCCATTGAAATGGAAATTTGTTAAAAGGGCGTTCAGCTTGATTAGACTTTAAGTAATGGGAAATCGATTCCTTTGAAATATTGAAAAACCTTGTTGGATAGGCA